AGAATTTTCTTTAGCTTGTGATCTTCCACCATGCATACTTGTGGTTCTGGGTGATTTTATTAACAGATAATGTTTGAAAGCCCATGAACTTAACATACACTTCATTATCCAAATTATCTACACGTTGCTAATCATTTTTGGCAGATAGAATAGAGAAGCAGAGAGGGTGTGAACACAGATGGAATAGAGAAGTGATGAGGGAAGGAAATGTAGAGAAGAACTAAGAAGACTCACAAAGCAGAAGAAAAAAGAGAAAGAAGGATGAGGAAAAGAGAAATAAAAGCTAAAACAGCAGCAAGAACAGATTGTATTCAGAAGTCCCTTTACATAGTATATATATGAAAAGACTAGGGATGGATGGGCCATGAGGATGAGGTGTTGCTAGGGTCATTATCAATAAAGCTGTACTACAGATTTCAGTGGTTAATGCAACCTCCACCCAACTGTCTTGTTAGGGAACAGAAAACCAATGAGAATGGCACCCAATTTTGGCTAAAATAAGGACAAAGCATACTTAAAAACAATGACAGGGAAAACAAAACATTCTGACAAATGGAGAACAGACCACTCATATTGGAGGAAAGGAAAATATCTACATCTACCTCCCTATAGCTCCCAGCAACTTTATTTGAATCTAATCAGTTCTCCCACTGGAAAGCAAATCATGCAATGAACTATTCAGAAGTATCTGATGTGACAGTCAAGGTGATAAGACTGCTTCAGATTCTCAGCAAAGAAAAGTTCGGAATCTCCTTTAACACTTTCATTCAACTATCAAAACAAAACAATGGTTTGTAAAGTATAAAAAGGTGATCATGTATTTATTTTCTTATTGCTTTATGTTTTTTCTCTATTAAAAGAAATACCAAAGTAGCTGTACTTCTTCCCTGAAAACTTACCAGAGAAGGATTTGTGCGTATAACCAAGTGACTCCAAAAGCCAGCCTAGGGGCAGTGCAGGCAAGATGTTTCCCAAATGCATGTATTTCAAAGGTGAAATAAAGAAGAATGATGTAAGTAAAAATGTTAAAACTTGGGAATCAAAAAAGTGAAGTGCAGGGAGCTCTTGAACAGCTTTCTGAGAAAGAAGATTCATTTCTTCATATTTATATTGTCTCCTAGACTACACAAATGCAGATACAAATACAGTGTTAAGTCCCTATAGCAGTCAAAATACCAAAAATGTTCAAACTTCAAACAAGAAGCAAGGAAGATATGACAAAACAGGCTAAAAAAAAAAAAAGTATTACGTAATATATATAAGATATCTTAAGAAGTTCATTGATTGTTGGTGATTATTGTGTCTCATTCAGCTGTTAACATGTCCAATATTTTAAAAAATCAAGCTTCTTAGGTGTATGTGATTTTCACTATTGGTTTGTTAAGATATTGCCATAGGATGGCAGCTATTTATTTTTGTATGTATACACTGAATTTGGTAAAGTATCAAAATTTGGTCACGGCATAAATGGCTTTATATCTCTTTGGGCAATAGAGCCTATAAAAAACTGCAAATTGCTGAACTGCAGTTCACAAATAATGAGTTTCAGAGTTTGTTGGAAATCTTGCCATAGAATTACCAATGCTATTAGTCTTACTAGTCTTACATGCATTTGCTGAGATTAAAATTTCTGTTAGAAAGAAGAAGAAGATATCAGCAAATGAAGGTAATTTCCCAGGCAGAAGTGAAAAGACATAGAACTCCTTTGTACTATCATACTGCTGTAGGAAGAGAGAGCCTGATCTGGCCCACTTCTCATTTTCAACCATTCCAGGATGTCTTCATGAATGATTGCTTACTTGTTCCCAATTCCAATTGTATTAAGGGTGGCAAAAGGGGAAGAGAAATATATAAGGGCTGCTCTGAAAGTAATACCTTCTGTTTTATGATGTTGGCCCATGACATCAGAGGCACATTTGGTGGTATGGCAGTGGAGGCTGAACCCTCTCACCAACATCCCATCATATGTTGTTGCTGTGATGGCAGCAAAGGGACACTCTGAAAGAGTGCCATCTGGCATGGAAGTGTGCGCAAAGTAAAGGTGTGTCACTAAATTCTTCCGTGCATAAAAAATGGCACCCATTCACATTTATTGATGCTTGCTGAATGTTTCTGGATACCAAACAGTGTATGTGAGCACAGTGACGCAGTGATGATGCGTTGCAGCAATGGTAACCAGCCTCACTTCTGCTGGTGACATCTGGTAAGAATTTGGCATACAGGCTCTTGCTCATTGCTGGTGAAAATACATACCTACTGGTGATGACTGTGTTGAGAAACAGTGTTTTGTAGATGAGAATCTGCTCTATCAAATGGTGTTGTTGTGCTCTTTGTCGTGTATTACTATTTACTCAGTATTTGTAAATTGAGCCCGCTACTTGCATTTGTGCTCTTGAAAATGTGGCTACTGATGCCTAGAAAAGATTGATTAAAAACACTTTGCAAAGGCTTCTTAAGGAATAAAAGAGTAGAGTTGACACTGATCTTAGGGAAGTCCTTGTTTGGATTTGATCATTATCTTTTACTTCTTGTCCTCCTTAATGATTGCATTCATTAAACCCAAGAGAAAATAAAATGCCTTAATTTGAAAAAGCTACACATATATGTTGTCAAACAACACAACCAATATCTAGTATGCTGTTTTGAGCATACTTGCAGCACCCACAATGTTCCCTGAGGAACAAGCAAGCAAATGCATGGCTTTTACAGGTACGGTAAATTACAACAATCTAATCCCATTTTGCAAAGCCATATGGCCAGCAAAGCAGATAAGACATATGTGATAGCAAGAGGTTAAAAAAAATCCACTTCATTATTTTCCAACTTTTTGAAATTATGAAACTTCCAGAAGAAAAGGAAATGGCAAATGGTAACATTTGGGAGTGGGACGTCACTCATACACAGGAAGCAGCATGAAAGAAGATATGAAAAAAACAAAAAGGGAAAGAAATAATAGCTTATGGAGGGTTTATTTTGCCTTTGAAGGAGGCATCAGATATTCACTGTCCGAAAATCACTTGGATACAAGTAATGGATATATCCAAAGTTGTGCAGGTGATCCAGGGATTTTCAAACTATGACAATTCTTCAGAGCAGTGTAGTTTTGGTAGGGAACACTGTGTCAGTACTGAAATGAGATGAGTTCAGCATAGGAAAACCCCTTCAGTCAAATCCTGCAACTGATGCAAGTTTTGCCTAAATAGCGACTGAGTGAAAAACAAGTAACAACTTTGGTATTTAGTTCAACAATTGTATGACTGAATACATTTAAAATCAGAAACTAAAATGAAGGGTGACTCAAATGAAGGAGCTCCCACAAAACCTATTAAGAAAACTGTAAGCACCTCTGTAGTAACAGGTATCCATTGAAAAACACTGCTGGTTGCTCACTAAGGCTCAAGGTCTCCAGCTGCTCAACTTTGACCCAAGAAATGTGGTAATGTGTCATTTGTCACTGATTTGCACTACATCCTACACAGGAGCAGATGTTAGATTTCAGCCTTTCCTTATAGCTGCCAGTATTCAGGTTCAACAGCAGATAGCAAACACAAATGCAAACCTTGCACTAAGTAGCTACTCTCTCCTTGTCAGAGGGTACATATCAATTTCACTTGTTTTGATCTCATTTCTTTTATTACAATTGTGTGCACCAAGAACAAAATCAGAACAGCATTTAAGCTGTTAAGCAACTTCAAAACCTCTTATTGGTATTGCTGGGCTTATTATTGTTCTATAGATTGAAAGCACTTTCATACAGGAAGCAGAATCCTGGTTCTACTGAAGACTGAAGAAATTTTACTGTTGACTTCAGTAGGGATTATTATCTGGGGAGTATAACAATGTGTGTGATTGCAGAGTGAATAGTCTGATTTACACACTTTATTTTATCCTTTGTCTTTAGAAAGAAGTACATTGGCTGACAATGAGAAAGTGAATGGTTATTTATATTCTATCTTAAACTCTCTTCTTCTTTCAAGGAAGCTAACAGCATTATTAGCTGCTGCACAGATAGTTGTGGAGTACTTCCAGATTAGACTCCCCGAAATGCTTGTAGCCTTTCCTTACTGAAAGGGTAGGGAATTGAGCTTATTTGTGGCTCAATTTCTCAAAACAGTGCATTTCAAAATATGTTTAATTACATACAGAGAAAAACTGCGAGAATGTTTGTCCTGAAGAAATTAGAAATTAACCCTTTTTTTTTTTTTTTTTTTTTTTTTTTTTAACACTCTGGAGAGTTTATAAATTTTTGTCACTGAACTTTCTATAATAAGTTTTCAAAACTGAAAATCTGGAACACTGCAGATAAAATCTAGAAGTTTCAATGTTTATCCATATTCAAAACGAACTGAATGCTTTGAGTCACACACCAGTGTTCTACATAGCATTCCATCCTAAATAACTGTGTTGAAGAAGGAAAGAAGTTTCAAAGTGCTTATGTAGGAAAGAGAAGAGGTCCCAGTTTAACTCAAAAATTTTCCACGTTTTTCCTCTCTTTTTACTTATGGTTGATATGAAAATGAGATCAGCTACTGCAAGGTCAGAGAGAACAAAAATAATAGGGAACAGCATTATTATAAGCTTTATGTTCTCTGAAGATTTTTAAAGAAGACTCCTTATGTATGACAGAACTATTTCTCAGACGGTGTTTGAATACGCAGTCCCTTCTACAGCTTCTGCAGGACGCATAATTTTTATGGAATTCTTATGATGGAGTTCTTTCATCTTTCATATCATTCTTATTCATATGGAGTTCTTATCATGGTGAAGGAAGGGTTTGCTACTAGTAGAAAAGGAGACAAGATGACAGGCCAGATTTACTCTTGCCTCCATGAATACATTCCAGGGTTTTGGCAGTTTGAAAGTAAAAAGAAAAACAGCAAGACTATATGTATTTAGGCTGTAAATCTGTACTTTTCTTCCCCTAATGGATGTTAATTTTCTGCTTACACAGAACTTCTCTGAGTATGCTGTTTACTAACTTTTTAAACTTTCCCTCATAGGGTCCCATGATGTGTATTGCCATGGACAGTGGAATAAAACCATGCTCTCAATGAAAGCTGTCAAAGGTCAGTTGTGCAAGGAGATTGTTTCTTTCCAGTAATTTCAAGAAATTCTATCACTTCTGTCATAATTCTGTGTTCCAGACAGATTGAAACTTTACATAAAACAGGGTGTGGAAGAAGGGAGGAACTGGCAGCCAAGAGACAAGAGAGCAATTAGACACAACTCACTGTCATTTTGGCAGCATTTCAATAATTCGACACAGACAGTAAATAACATAGCTGGGTTCTAAATTTCTAAGAGCTTTCTGATGCATGCTATACTCATTTTGTATGAAAAGAAGGAGGTACACAAGGAGAAAGACATTTGAGGGGCAGGCCCATATTTTGAAGGGTAGACTTAGGTCTACACGTACATTTTACATTCTAATTGCATGAGTTTAACATTGCTTACCATGAAATTTGAAAAAACCTTTTTCCATTCTTTAGAAAAAAACTGAATATTTTTTAGCGTTCAGAAAAAGGTCAATCCTCCTTTGTATAAAAAAGTATCTTTGAGATCTGACATTTCCTTATTCTGCCTAGTTACTTAGGGTTGACAAGGAAATGTAAGAGAATGCAAACTCTCTTGCAGTCCTCTCCGATGAAATGCACATGTGCACATACATGCACCTTTATATGCTAAATGTGCGTATGCATATGCAAATGCAAACTCATATGTGTGCATACATGTGCAGTGTCTCCATACATATGCTACCAGTCAACAAGCTAGGGACTGAAAGCCACATCCTGGTATAACTACTAGATATCTACCCTGGGCTAACTTGATTCTTTTTTGTTTGTTTTCGCACCGTTACAAATGTTTTAACCATCACCCTTGAAGAGATCCTATAGTTTTCCCTTCTTTATATCTCCTCTTGCATTAATTGATCCCTTTGTTTAAAATTTCCATCTTAAAGTTTTGTCACTGAACCTTCAGATTCCCACAATATTTATTCATAGGTAGTTCCAGAATCTAACTAACTTCCAAACAGAAGTAACTTGTTTCCCAGCAACTTTTTAAGATGCCTTCTGTTGCCCACACCCTAAGTAGGTCACTGAGATGCGCTTTTATCTATCTTTAGAAGCTAGTTTATTCAGCACAGAACTTCCTGAAAAAGAAACAGAGGTGTCTTTAGTACTCTAACCACCTTCATACTCTCCACCCAGCATTTCCAAGAATGGTGCTGTAAATAGCATCAGTGTGTCACAGATGACAGAGGGAAAATACGTTCCGTTTTCCAAGCTAACCTCCACTTGGTTGGACAGATGTATGTACACAAACACAGACATATATACATACATACACACATTTGGATAGAAGCATTCCCAGAAAGCCAGGGCAAAAGGTAGCAACCTTGTATAAAGTGAAGTTAAACGCATAGCTAGCATGTCAGATGAACTCCAAATTTAGGAAAAGTACTCCAAGGGATGCTCTCCATACAACTAATGGAATACAAAAATTTGCCGGGGGACATTTATTAACCTGCATTGTCATGACATTGGAAATGATCTGAGCATTCTCAGGTGTCAGTTACTCAGGGAACCTCGGGGACCATTGAAGTGAATTCCATGTTTAGTTTTAAACAGTGAGATTTGTGCTCTACTTCAGAAAAACTGAAAAAAACATAGATAATGTCCATAAAACTGAATGCATGTTGGAGAGCGGTCAGAGGCTTTTCCTCCCCTGAATTTGCCAGGTAAATATCACTAGGATTAAAACAAAGAAAATGAATCAATCTCCACCTTCTTGTTACAATACAGAGTGAGGGAAGCCAGGAAATACAGCGCAAAACCTGATGGTACACGGTGTCCTTAGATCACTTGGCCATTGTTTTCTCTCACAGCAGCACATGCTAATGATACAAAGAAGTTTAAAGTTTTTGGCTTTGACTTTTCATGTCACAACCATAATAAATGTGCACATTATTGTTTGTATTGCCATATCCTTCAGATGCACCGCCAATTTCTAGTGCCTGTTCTTGAACAGCCAAGGACAGGACTTTGCCCACAAATAGCCTGGCTGAATTCAATTAAGTATGAGCACTGCCATGCAGATTCAGCTGCTAAATAGAGAATCACAGTACAACATGTTTATGTTGCAAAGATATTGTATGAGTCAAACCTGATTTAAACCACAATTCCTACCACAGGAAGACCAAAGATTCTTTGTTCTCCTCTAGCAAATTTCATTCTGCTTTAGAAGTTCTTCAACTTGCATGATCCTTAGCAAGGCATCCTTAATTGCGTTTAATTAAAAAAACAACCTCAAAACGAATAAATAAGATAATAAAGTGTTAACCCCAGGAGAAAAGACAGAAATAAAAATGTTTGTTTATTTGTTTTAAGGAATTAAAAAAGAAATAAGTATGATGAAGAACGAAGATGCAAATTGTAGTGTGGACAACACACAAGCTTCTCCCTTTTCTCACTGCCTACAGCCACTGAGTCCTGTTACAAAGCCACACAGAACAACTCATTTTGGTGAAGAGTTCAGACAGCATCTTTCACATTTCCGCTATGGCCCTCCTCCTCTTGCAGACATGGAAAGCTTCCAGGGGTCCCTGGAAGGAGGGTCTCGGAAACGCAAAAGCATGCCAACAAAGATGCCCCCTTCTATCGCTCTTGAGGGCTCCTCATCCCCACCACACAGACTTGAAGATCATAATGACATAGATTCTTCTGGTCTTCCTATGGCGTTTCAACAACCAGCACAGCCAAAGTACAGTTCCCAGATGATTGATCTCTGCAACTTCGGTTTTCAGTTCTACAGATCTCTGGAGCCCTTTGGAACCAAGTCCATTAAGCAAGAACCAGTAAAACCTAATTTGGCATGGCCCAGTAGTCCAGCATTTGTGCAGGCTCCTTATCCTTATTATCCTAAAGTCCATCCTGGCCTAATGTTTCCTTTTATTATGCCCCCAAATCTTCATTTCAGGAACCCTTTTCAAATGAAAAGGCCTCCAGAACCATCCTTCCGAAGGGCTGAAGTAAGAGAAAATGGTGAAAATAAACAGAAAGTAGAAAGAGTGGATGTCAACCTTCAAATAGATGACAGCTACTATGTTGATGTTGGGGGTGAACAGAAACGCTGGCAGTGCCCGATGTGTGAGAAGTCCTATACATCCAAGTACAATTTGGTCACCCACATCTTGGGGCACAGTGGCATTAAGCCACATGCTTGCAATCGATGTGGCAAGCTTTTCAAGCAGCTGAGCCACTTGCACACTCATATGCTAACACACCAGGGCACGAGACCACATAAGTGCCAGGTCTGCCACAAGTCTTTCACTCAAACCAGTCACCTTAAGAGACACATGATGCAGCACAGTGACATCAAGCCTTACAACTGCAGGATCTGTGGAAGAGGCTTTGCCTATCCCAGTGAGCTGAAGGCACACGAGGCTAAGCACGAGAGTGGCCGAGAGAACATTTGCGTGGAGTGCGGTCTGGACTTCCCCACACTGGCCCAGCTGAAGAGACATTTAACAAGCCACCGTGGCCCAATACAGTACAATTGCACTGAATGTGATAAGACCTTCCAGTACCCAAGTCAGTTGCAAAACCACATGATGAAGCACAAAGACATCCGTCCATATATCTGCACTGAGTGTGGCATGGAGTTTGTACAGCCCCACCATCTCAAACAACACTCTCTAACTCACAAGGTAAGCCATCACATGTTGAACTCTCACGTTGTGTCACACAGAAGCACAGGGACTACAAACTGCTAAAAATATGCCCACCTCCATCCTATAAAGCCTCATGTTGGCCCTTTGCCAGCAGTAGAATGTCATGCAGAACAAAAGTCCCAAGTAGTACTGGCATCAGTAGAAGATAGATGTCTTTGTCAGACTTAAGAAAGTATGTGCAAAAACATTCTGTTATAGACAAGACTTCAATTAAGCCACCAGCATTACTTCCCACAGTTGTACTCTCCCTGTTTCTGGGTTTTACCTTCAGAACGAGCTTCTGTAAAACAGCATTTTGCAGATCTGTCTAACCTCAAAAAAATTTACCAGAAATTTTCTTCTGAAAAACATATGTGTATCTTTGCTTCCCCTAATTGGGAAGTAGGAGGATATGCAGTAGGATGTGTGTGTGCAGCAGAAGAAAGTATATTACTCATCCAATTTTGAAGAGTCATTATAATGAGACATATAGGGGGGAAAGAAAAGACCCAAGAAAAATCCCCATTTCTGCATAAATTATCCAGAATGCCACTTGATGAAAGTGGACAAAGAGGACCGTAATCCCAGCCCATTTGTCTTAAGTGAGAGTCTTACCACGGCTGTAAGGAATGACAGCTATTTCAGTTCAGATCGGGAGCAAGCTCTGAGAAACATCCAAAAAAATCCCTTTAAAAATAGGAAATACTTAAGTGTTCCATTGAAGAATGTCTGAAATTAGGTTACCCACCTCTACAAAAATACAATACAGACAAATTAAAAATCCACGTATTTTATAAAAATATACTCCCAGTTCCGAATGTCTTTTCCTTTAACACTTAAATTTTTGGTCTTTTATGAAAAACATTAAAAATACAGAAAGCTAAAATGTTTTAATCATATAAATACATTTTCTCTTAAAAAAAACTCAGCCTCTACTTCCACATTTGCTTTTTATTTTGTCCATTTGCTGTTGCTATTTTACTCTTTCTGGATGCTCCCCAGATCTACCATACAAAATTCTACTAATTTAAAACTCTTTTTTGTTTTGTTTTGTTTTGTTTCTGTTTTTGTTTTTGTTTTTGTTTTTTTTTGTAATGGGAAATGCAATGCCCTTCATCCTCTAGAGAGTTACTGCTTCATTGTCCACATCTGCAGGTGGATTCAGCTGCAAACATAATTAACAGTAGTTAGTGCCCAAACGCATCCTTGAATCAAATAGCTTGATGCTTAGAATTGCTGGGCATATTCACAGCTTTAGCTTTGCAATTATCTCTGTGAAAACCACTGACTGGCACAAAAGTGACTGACATTTCAAGTCTTTTTGTAATGAGTTTTATGGAGGAGTAATTGCTCTTGGCACTGAACTAATACATTCTCACTACCTGCAACAAGTTATGCTCAAACTCTTAAGGTGTTGCATGGTAAATTCATTGGTCTTTGTAATATCTAAATGAATCACAGGAGCTGGCAGTTAGAGCACGTATGTCTGACCAAGAATATTGGATTTCATTTCAATGAATTGACTGCATGGCACAGAGGCTGTTAGAAATGTTCTGTAAACACAAGTTAAAGCAGGGACACTCCATTAGGGCGAGTGTAAATTCCATAAAGAGTTAAAAATATTTTTTCTTCATTGAATATAATATGTAGGTTTTTGTTTGATGATATTTAATTATTTCTCATTTATTTCAGCTTACTTTCAATAGCTCTCTGCAAAAAAGGAGTAGTTCTTAGTTAGTACCAAATGATGTTCAGTTACCATAGCCAAACACTTCTTTTATCTTTTAAGTGGCTAACTTTTACTTTTGGTTCATAGACGTGCAAATTTGACCAGTGCTTCACATAAGCAGTAGAGAAGGACAGAGAAGCCCTGGTACTACATCTCACTGACATGCAAATTTAAAGATGGAGACAAAACTCCTTATTTCATTACACTTAGATGTCCTTTTCCTTCTCTGCTTCTCATATTCTTGTAAGAATTTGCCAAGAAAAAGAACATAAAACATAAGTATATACTCCTTGAACAAATGATATTAAAGGCAAAATAATGCATTACCTGCTTTGCTAATGTGGAATGAATAATTCATATATTGCCATACTGAAAATGAAATAATTTATAAACTGTTCAATCTACTGTTTTTTGTTTTGTTTTGTTTTGTTTTTCTTTTCTTTCAGGGTGTGAAAGAGCACAAATGTGGAATCTGCGGCCGGGAGTTTACTCTGCTGGCCAACATGAAGAGACACGTCCTGATCCATACCAATATCAGAGCCTATCAGTGCCATTTGTGCTTCAAGAGCTTTGTGCAAAAGCAGACTCTCAAGGCACACATGATTGTTCACTCTGATGTCAAACCCTTTAAGTGCAAGGTGAGTATCTCCTTTGTGGCAGAGACATAATCTCACTATTTCTGGGATATTACCACCTTCTGACACAACTGAATTCAGAAAAACATGACTTGCTCACATTCTATAGTTATATTTAAATTAGCATAGAACAATCTGCTTTCCATTCTTGATCTAAAGCTCTGCTTAGGTAGCACAAAAAAAAATGGAGCTAGATTTCTGTGATTTGCTCCCTTCCCCTACATTATCTGTAACTTTGATCCTGACGTATTGTTTTCCACATAGTGAGCATATAAATGTCACCACAGTTTGAGAGCAACACACATACCTGACAGTTGTCCACAACAGCCATCCAATCTGAAGTCTGAGTACTTCAGTTCTTAGCAGCTTCAAGCACTGGCTAAACACACTGATCAACTTGGGGCTTCCACAGAGGACCTTGGAAAAGCAGCAACCTGATCTTCACGCAGCTATGCTGTGCAATAGTTCAGGGAAGAACTCAAAGAAAATCAGAGCTATACAGAATTGCAGAAGGCATTTGAAAGGGCCAAATGTGGTCACCAGACTGAAACTCAAGGCAGGGCATCAGTATCTTAGCAAATTGGCCTGTGAGACCATTTGGGAATGGCAGATCACTGCCTCCCTCCAGTGCTTCGGAGGCTGACATTCCCTCTCCATTCCCTCTTCCTTCCCTTCCCCAGAAATTTTGGAGGCTTTCATTTTTTTTTTAACTGTTTCCACCTATAATTTCTTCCTTATGAGTTATTTATGCTTACCTTTTTACCTGATATCAGACTCTACATCTGCTATTTCTGCTTATTTTCTAGTCCATTATTATAATCATATCTTATAAAGGCAAAGGCTGGGTTTTTTTTTCCCACCTTGATCTGCTCTAAGGGGGCAGTAAATATGGAGAGGAGCATATTATCCAGTTTACACTTAAGTGACAGAAGATTGATCTGGAAACAATTTCTAAGAACACCTTCATCCAACAACTTTATGGAATTAAATATTTTCTTAAGTGGACTCTTTCATTCAAAAGCAGATATAAATGAAAAAATATGAATGGAATTATTCTGTCTTGAAAAGTGTAGAACTTCAAAATGTTATATGAAATTATTGCTTTCAGTGATAGTTTTAATAGGAAAATATCAAAACTAATATTTTTGAACTCATTTTTTCTTTGGTAACACTAAAGTACTTCATTTCAAAGGTTTTCAATGTCAGCATGTTGTTACATTTTAAATGTAATTTAAACATTCACATTTTAAAATGTTATTTTCTATACTATCACTCTATATTGAGAAAATAATTTCTCCATATTAATAGCAGTATCAAAATACTGATAAAATAATTACTCAAGCTGCTGAAAAGCCTGAGTAGTTCCATGTCAAGTCCGCTTGAAACTGTTATTCTTTGAAAATATACCTGCAACCCTGCATCTTCATTGCCTTTTGGACAAAGTCAACTTCTACTCTTCAAATTTCAGAAGAGAAACTCGATTGTTTGATCAGGTGTTCTGGATGCAGTATGTGGATCCGTGCTACTTCTGAGACAGGCGCGGAGTAGCTGAAAGCTTGTGTTCCTGATAGGGTTTGGTAATGACAGACTATTAAAACTTAGAATGTCAACAGTGTGAGCCAGGAACTGGAGTACCAGCAGTATACTTTCCAGCCAGTAACAAAAGCTCTTGAGGAACAACTGGTTTTCTTATTTATTTATTTATATTTATTTGTTTGTTGAATTTTTTTTTTTTTTTTTTTTTTTTTTTTTTTTTAAT